AACTCCGCCTCAATCTCATGACCTCTGGGACTTTATCTCCTTTAGACTCTGGTCTGATAGGAACCAAACATTTGCATTTGTATACTTTAAGTTCAATGGCTGTAGAAACAGAAAGAAGAATCCTCACCATGATAACTTCTCAGAGAAGAAATAAGCTCTATACACCAATAGAGGCTCAAATAAATGACTAATGACTGAGATCTTCAAATTCAAACAATAGACAAAACTTGGTTTGATTAACTTGGAAAGATTAAAATCTCATAATTTCCACTCACTAAAATTTAATTCATCTTTAGTAGCAAACAATGATCATTATTATCAATATTATTTTGAATATTATTCTTATAATTATTCTAACTAATTATTATTATTGTTGTTATTGTACTGAACATGAAAGAGGTTAGAGACAGAAAGGAAACATTTTTTTTAATATCTGATGATCAAAACAACATACATGAGAATAGAAATAGGAACAGGAAACACAGATCTGAAATAAGTTTGAATAAGAAATAATGAAGAATAAAGTCTGTAGGTAGATTAAGCCTACAATTCAGGAACAAGAGTAGAAGAATAACAATGTGTTTATGCCAGAGATAATAATAGGCTAACACACACATATATATGCCTACATATACATTATATACAAGAACATATACAGATATATTAAAAACTAATATATATATTATGTGCATTACTATCAAACACACAGAGACTTGCAACTAGATATAAACACACACAAATACAGAATTTTTTCAGAGCTTAACTATGGATGAGAAAGGATTGAGGTTACTCTATAGTGAAGCGGCTTTGAAGGTGAGGGTAGGAAAGTCAAAGATGGAAGGTATAAGGTGTGTACGAAAAGGCTATAAAAATATGATTTTCTGGTACAGTGACATCTATATGTGTTGCATGGCACCAGATATAAAGTTTCCTTTTTTAATTCACTCAGGATCATACCAAAGTGAACACGGATTTTATTGTAAACATCCCTGTACATTTTTATTATTTTTATTTTTGTGTAAACTAGATAGTGAGATATATTCTTTCTTGCATTTCTCAATGGTCTGCGATTAGAGAACAGAGTAAGCTATTATGAGTAAGACAGAGTTAGAAGGAATAAAGAATATATAATAATATATAATAATCATAAGATGAACACAATAAATCATAAATAAAATACTTCAAAATTGTTCAACTTAGAATTTCATATTCAACAAAAGGTCACCCATAATGAAAAAAAGATAAAACCATAGACACTGCCTAAATAAATGAAGATAATTCTTAAGAGACTCCAAACCAGGTATACTTCATTTAGATGAGTAAAAACTTTGAGGATAAAATACATACCATCTTCATAAATACATTAATAGAATGAAATAATGATGAAACTACTACTAATTTTAAAATATGCACCAGAGAGAGAGCGATCAAATTACTTTCTTTTTAGGACAATTTATAACTAAGTGGAATATAGGATTCTGAAAATGCTGAAAACATCGATAAATGAATTATCTGCCAAGTTATTTTGATGCCTCAAATTACTTGAAAGCATTATACTGAAATCAAATCAATGATTTGCTCAAACTTCTAAATTGTAACTAAACCAAAGACTAATCCATTTACAGGTAAGGGAATGTGAATTTTAGACTAAAACAAATGTGAAAAAAATGGAGGTAGAAACATTAAAAATTAATGATAAGAATATAGATAATCCTCAAAATACCCAGCTGAGTTTCATCTTTTAAAACTGACTGAACTTGCTTGCTTAGTCAAAAGAAAATGTAAATATTCTAAATAAATCATGAAAATAAAAATAGTAATAATGAGAAGTAGATATATAATAGAAAAGTTTCTTAAAAATTAGCTACAGTAATAAAATAAAAAAAAGTCTGGGCCAACATTGCTTATGAACAATGCTCCAGTGTGAGGAATTAAAAGTAGTAAGTGATAACATATAATTACACAACACAGAAAAGAGTTTTAGCATACATTTGTAGAAGACTAAATGCTTGTCACAATCAGTTATTAAACCAGCATAAAATGTTACAATATAACACATACTTTATTCATTTAGAATTCTATTCAAATTCATTTTACCCTCATTGTAATTATTTTGACTTGAAAAAAAAAAAAACGATTTGTTCAGTAGATTTAATAATCAGCCCGGTAACTCATGATATATAAGACTTCTTGGTGAAGTTTCTGCAATTGTTTCAAAGTGTGGGTTGATTGGGCAACATGATACATGTTTCCCACAATAACGAGTTCCATTTGTCTGGGTTTTGGAATTCAGAGATTTCCCTTCTCCTAGACTGGCTACCAACCAAGGCTGAAGACCCCCATTGTATAAAAATATATTTAACCAACAGCTATGAGTAGAAGAGATGGATTCATATCTTTTCCAAGAATATATTTGAAAGTGAATGTAACAACTGGAATTCAAACTGAGCTTTGCCGATTTCTCATTCTGGTCGATCATCCATTACACTACCTGCACATCAATTAGATTTAATAGATATAGAAAATTCACAAGTGTAGATAACCTATGAAAACAATATCACTAAATTATCACTATTAAGTTTCTCAATCTATCGAAAGTGTTGTAAATTTGTATAAAAATCATGTAAATAAGATATATAATTACATAATAAATAAACTAAATGATATATAAAGTATAAACATTTCTATGTCAAGAGAATTTTGAAGATATTTTTTGTTACAGACAAATCCTTATTTATACTATTGTTCTAATTTATTGATAATAGATTTAAATACAATCATATTTCAATAATTGCAAGACATTTATCTTTACGTATTTAACAAAATATATTAAAACTAAAATGCTAGCAGCTATTTAAATAATTAATAAAATCCTTATAATAATTAAAAGAAATTAAAATATATTTTCACATCTCATAAAGTATGTCCATGTTGCCTTGTATGCTTCTTTTTCAAACAATATAATTAAGATTTTGTATATATAGAATTATAAAAACGGTACATGAAAGGTGAAAATGAAGTTAAAAAAATAATGAAGTGCTCATTGTAAAGAACAGGGTTTTCTTTATAGAGTTGTATAAAGGGCTTTTATTTACATTGAGCACTTCATTATTTTTACCCTTTTCACAGATTTTATATACAACTTTGAAGTTATATATATATATATATATATATATATATATATATGTATGTACCTCATAAAAAATTTTAAAAATTTAGATAAAATTCAACAAATAACTGTCAGGCTACAGATTAATTAATATACCCTTACACACACACAAACACATATATGTGTGCAGGCAGAAAAATAAGTTTTGGTATCTGTCTATACGTGTGAGTGAGAGAGAGAGTGTGTGTGAATGTGTGTGTGTGTATATATATATATATATATATATATATATATATATATATATATATATATATATATGTATACATATATCACATAAACTGATAGTGTAGTAGCCAAAGAAAATCAATAGTTGTGAATGAATTTATTCTTTATTGGTTGCCCTATAGATCTGCCTTTGAACAAATATTGGCTTAGCCAACAGATAGCTACAGAATGTCCTGTCATAGGACATTGGTTAATATACTAGATTTGAGCATTGACAGTAGGTTTAATTCTGAATGAGCCCTCTATGAATATGACCTTGTGTCAAAACTGGCGAGGCCCAACAAATGTCAAAAACAAATGCTGTAGAACACCTGTCATGGAGAAATACATATTACAAGTTCTGCAAGACACTGACTGCTTTGATTGTGCTTATCATAGAGGCACCATAAAATTGACTTTATGCTGAAGCTGTCTTTGATAAAACATATATTTATATTAAATCAAGTTATAAGTAAATAATAAAATAATATGATTTTAATTTTAATGTACAATTTAATATTTTCTGTTTGTAAGAAAATGCTTAAAAATAAACAGGCAATGTGCATGATATTCAAATGCAATGGGCAGGCTATAATGCTCAAATACATTTTATTCAATTGGTGATAATGTTCTGATCTCTGGAGAGATGTTATCATGCAATGAATGATGCTAATTTATTTGCTATCTATTTACATATCTTACACTACAATTACACATTGAGTATCAATCAAGATGCTTCTAAATGATTGCATCTATACCGTAATTGTGTTCTGCTGTTGTAGAAGAGATGGGTTCTTTTATAAGTCAAATTTAATCAATTTTTCATGAAAACTGAAAGAAGCAAATCTCTGGCATGTACTGCTGCCCCTCAAAAGGGAGTTGGGAATTTAAGCAGGAGAAGCTAAGCTCCCACAAATACTACTCTAGGTTCTTACATGGTAAAGAATTGTTAAAAACACAAATAAATTATAATTAATCTAAAGTTTATTTTGGAAAATGTTTTAATTATAGCAATGAACTATAAATTATTACATAATTATAATTTATTTTCATTTTCTTCTTTTCAAACTATCAGTATCACAGAATACTTTAACTTATATTGTGGATATTATCAATAAAAAATCTTTAATTTCTAGTTTATTTTAACATAATCTGAACAGTCTTTCCATAAAATAAAGAAGTAAAATACAAATGCACTACAAAGTTCCTATATTTTTAAGTTAAAGAATTAAGATCTTAAAAATTTAGTTAAATTGGTTGATATATCTTTCCTGCTTTTAATACAAATAAAATAACAAACAACTTTTACAGAATGTTAAAATAACCCAAATGATTCATTTAGTATAAAAATAATAATCTAAACTAAAAACAAAATACATTATCTAATAACAGATTTCTTCACTCCTTGACTTTTAAAATAAAGATAAATAGATGTCTCAAAAAAAAAAAAAAAAAAATGAAACCATAATGGTTACATATGATTTATGTATCAATATAATTTATAAAAATATTATTATACTTTGTTATGTGGTCCCATTTTTCAGGTTTCAATAGATATTTAAGACATAAAGTGGTTTCCTCTTCATACAAATTATTTAGAATTGGTTATTTTTGTTATCTTTTCCAGGTCTGCAGAGTAGGACCCGTTTCATGCAAGCAGACCAATTCCACAACACAGATATGAAAAAGCCCCTTCAAGAGACATTTGGACGGCCAAATGATATGATCCCTGCTTCCAGGTGTTTTTACAAATCAAACATTGGTCAAAATTCACCCCACAAAGAGTGGAAAGATCCAAAATCCACACTAGGGGACAGTAATATTTTAGGCTTGCATTCACAGTCCAAAGACACACCCGGAAGCAGTCAGCCTGCCTCAAATGTAAGACCACTGCCTTCTGTACCACAAATACTTTACTAAACACAAGATCCCTTTGATGTGTTTGCACAATATCTTCACTCAAAATTTGCAGTTTCAGAATCTATTACAAATTTTCTGAAAGGCAGAAGAATGATAATAAAAAAAAAAACAGAAAATATTGTAAGATGAAAGCATATTCCCTTCAGAGAATTTTTTAGTTAAGGGAGATGATGTTCAACTTGTGGTCAATAACATTTCAAAGTAAATATAAGAAAACAGGGGAAAAAAACAAACTCCTGGATTAACAAATGTCTGAAATGAGAAGAATCTTTGGATTTAAACATGTACAAATGTATAAATATATGTACATTTCATTTCTTGCTTGAAAATTGATGCTGGAACTCACTGCAAAGAAATGTTGCTAATTTTCAAAACAATATGGTTCGCTACTTTAATAAAGGAAAAAAAAATTAAAGAATTTTTATTTCCCAATGAGGCAAATATCGATATATTTATAAAAGCTTTGATGTCATGCAGCCTAAATGATTTCTAATGATTTGGATATGGAAAATAATCAGTAATTTGGATCAATTTCATTTGGAATATTGATTTCATCACAAGAAAATTGTACAATCTCCAACTGAAAGGCTGTGTCCAAGACAAAATCTTCAATCTTGAATAACACACAGCTCCAAAAGTAACAAACACAGCTAAATTTAAAGATGGCATGTAGCCCCTGTATTCAGAGTTAAAATTTGACATTCTCTCAATTGGAAAAGAAAAAAAGGTAATAACTTTTTTTTTTTTAAAAAAAAAGCAAAACAAATAAAAAAGATAAAGAACACAAGATAAAAATGATGAACTGCCCTCCAAATATATGTGCATATATATTGTAATAATTAACTTATGATCTGTTACTAGGCCCAATTTTGTGGGATAATCAAGCTATGTCAGCCTGACTCAGCCTGGATGGAGAGAAGAAAGTAGACCCTAATAGAAGAATAGTTGCATGTAAAATGCAACACAGTGGGAGGAAGAGGTCAGAGTCAACATTTATTTCAAAGGACACATGGAAATGCCCCAATTTACATGCATCTAAATAAATGCATGTTGGTGGACAAAAAAGAAAAGAGAAGAATTACATAAGAATTAGGGGTCTTTTCTTGGTTTCATGTTGAGCATATTGGCAGCCATTAAGCACACAGCACACTTTATAGGACAACAGGCAGCTCCCTAACACTACACACGCACACATCCACACCCACCCACACTCATTTAATGAGGTTGTTAAACAGTAGCAGTAGTTATTGCAGAACTCTATACAAGGAGCTTCATCACATCACTGCTTATTCCTCAGAGGATTTAACAACAAAGGTAATTTAGTCCTTTTATGTCCCCTTTTTTTATTTATTGATATCTATATGTATACATGTGTTTGTATGTTTCTGGGCATGTGGTTTGTTATTGTTTTGGACATTTTTCTCTGACATGTGCCTTATCTATTAAGACTTGTAATATACTGTAAATATTGTTATCTACCTCTCTCTCTCTCTCTCTATATATATATATATATATGACTGACTATATATATAGATATATATATATTAACACACACACACACACACACACATATATATGTATGTATGTTTGATATATATATATATATATATATATATATATATATATATATATATATATATGTACACCCACACACTTATCTATAAATAATACATTTTATATGCATATATATGATACTGTTTTGAAAAAAACATTTTAAATATTCAGTCCTATATATATGATAAGCAAATGTGAATATGAAGGTTTCATTTATTTTATATATACAATGAACATATATACATAAGAATCTATTTACAAATATTAATGCTTCTTTGTTTACATGTAGAAAAACAATCATAGATTCTTTCCTGTATGTTCACAAAGTTACATATATAAACAAACAGAAAAATGTATACACACAAATTTAGCTATTTATATATCTATATAAAGTTCCATATAACCAAACTTTAAAGTCACTATATAACTTTAGTAAGCATGGTATGTAAGTCATTTTTTTATCAGTTGAGTTACAGTCAAAGGATAGCTGCAATAATCAATACATATTTGTATACATACAAACATGCTTCTCTTCAACATACATACATGGGACCATGCAAAAATGCAGTCAGATTACTATCTGTCAGGCTAGCCAGCTAGCTAGCTAGCTAGCTAGCTAGCTAGCCTGATGCATGTTAAACATACACTTACAT